GTTTGCATAACATGTTGCCAGAGAAATGAACGACCTGTCAGTCTAAGTTTTCGTTGTGTATATTCTCTCCTAATATGAAACGGTATCGTTGTCCCTAAATTATATGATTTGCATTCCATATACAATTTTTTATGGAATATGAACAAAAGTAGAAAATGATACAATTTAAGGAAAGGTAGTGTCATTAGTTACCTATAGGGTATTTACAGAATACAAATGACCAACACAAAGTTAGTATGGATACTAGCACAATTTTATTTCAATATTTATTTGCTTTTTCTCGGTAATTATGAATATTATTTTAAGTCATCAGTGGCGTCTAAAAGACGCCAAAATATATAATTAAGAGCCGAAATAAGAAGCTGAAGGAGGAACTAAAAGCCTAAACTTCTGTTGTCTTTGGGCACATTGCACGTACAAATGAGTGGAAAAAAGTTAATCATTTGTGCGGTAGGTAAGAAAGGGACTTTTGAATTTATATTGAAAAAAATGTCGTTAAATTTTATTTTCAGTTTTGTTCAGAATTTGTATTCATTATAATTAAAGCTTTCGGCACTTGCAAAATTTTAATTATGTTATTTTTATGAAAAACAAAATAGAATTAAGTCGAAAAAAAAAAAAAATTGTACATGTTTTGGGTTTTAACTATTCTCTGTTAACGTTTACAGCATTATGTTATGTTAGCAATATCAGATAATAACAGTAAAATTTTATTTAATTTTGTTTTTTATACTTTAATGATATTTGATAAAATCAAATATTTTTTATTTAAAAATATGTGAATTTTCTTCAAGAATATTTAATTAAGGTTCTTAAGCTAAGCAGTTAGAGAAATAGTTTCGTAGTTTAAAATAAATTAATATAAACGGATTGGAACCACAAATTCATGCCATTATGAAAAGACTTATTTAAGGAGAGTTTCCATTATGTCTAATGTAAAATTATCCAAAATATTTTAGTGAGATTTGAACCCCAAAAGCGCATATATGTATGTACATACATATTTAAGGAGATGCCTAGAAATACTTACGGAAATTTTATGAGAATGAAGCTGCATGAGGGTGTGAAAAAAATATGAAAATTGTATTCACAATGCATTTTATATAAAAAGTTTATGGAATAATTAATTTAAAAATGCGTTTAATAGATACCGCCACTTTTTTTGTAAAGCCTAGTCATAAATTTTAAACATTTTTAACAAGTAATTTTATGTAAATTTTTCTCACGAATTGGATGTTGGTACTAGGTTTAAGTTGATAGCACTGTTTCGCCTTACAAAGGTTTTAAAAAAAATATTAGGGATATTTACTATTACAAGAAAGAGCTTGATAATCAAATAACATAGTAAAAGGGTGAAGCAGCAACAAAAAACTCACCCAACAAAAAAACGTTTGTCAACAGGACTTTTCTTTGAATAACTTTAGTTTTACACATTTACTATATTTTTAATCCTGTCAACTTTCTTAGCACACGAAAAAACCTTTAATCCAAAAATGTATTTATTCTAAGCTTTTAATTTGGGAAATATTCTACATTTGTTCATATTTATAGCAATCAGCTAATTGGAAAATTATCTATATTTGCTTACATTTACCATATAGCAATGAGGTGATCGAGCTATTTTGGTATATCTTTTTTAAATATAAGTAAAATTGTTAAGAATTTAATTGAATAATAATAAAATAATAATAAATGTTATATTCAATAAAATTAGTTGACATTTTATTAATCATTTTAGTTTAGATTTTATTAAATACTTACTTCCTCAGTGCCTTTTTTACAGCTCAGTTCTTGTTTGTTTACAATTTACATATAAAACATACTTCAAATTTTGGATTTTTCCCTTCTCCCTTTCCCTTAAATGAGATAACTTGTTGATAATGAGATCATTAATATAAAGACACTTTGTGTGGTAATACTATGTTTAGACAGTCAAATTTCCTTTATTTCGTTAAAATGAAATTAAGTTAATTTGGAAAGTGTTCATACTTAACCAAATTAAGGAAATCATATGTTTTTTGTTTTCAAATGTGATGTTAAAAATCACATATTCAAAACACCATTTGTATCTGCGAAATTTTAAAAGTTGATTATTATAACGAAATAAACAAAAACGGTGAACTTTGTTTATTTCGTTCTACGCAGGTGTGGTGGGTTATGCATTTCGCTTTGAATTAATTTCTTACGTTACCCACCGTCTAACTGAGCCTTTACTTGTGATTAACTATTCTTGTAACTGCAATGTATTCATTTAAAAATTATTCTATAAATAACCAAAATGAGATATGTATAAAATCAAAATAAAATTATGGTTAGGCATGTGAACAAGGTTTCGAAGAAACGAGTCGAATGTTAAAATTCAAAACCATTGTAAAAACTATTTTTCTGTTGTATAAACACAATATAAATAAAAGTACTAATATTAAGTATAGAAAATAATAATAGGTCTGTTCCACGAGCTACTCATAGTAAAACATGAGTAAAACAGAAGTAAAATTTACACAAAAATACTTGAAAATTTGCTGGTGGAATATGTACTTGTGTATACACAGCGTTTACTCAAAGTTACTATGAGTAGCTCGTGGAACAGACCTAATATATCGCTTATTTAAACGCTTCCTGTGAATTTGATTAATAAAAAATTTTTTAGTTTTTTTTAAGGTACATTTTTCAAAGGTATATAATTATTTACATATATCTATTATATAAATTTGATAATAATCTAAAGTAAGTCGTTATAACATTTCTTCTCAAAAAATTTTGACACGTAGTTAAGATAAAACAAATTTAAAATATTAGTTATTGTGAATTCAAACATATAAAATTCATAATAGCAAACGTCGCTGTTGTGATATCTGAAATAAGAGATATCAACAATTTTTTGTTCTTCTGTTAACAAGTAATTGCAGTTCGACAAAAATAATTTATTTTTGATCAAACAAAAATTTTCGAGCATTGTAAACATTTCTTTTTTATAAACTCCCACGTAACTGTAACAAAAAATTTTCTACAAAAATGTCAAGTTAAAATTCATAAATACAAATAACTATAATGTAAACATAAATTTAGTAAATGCGTTGAAATATAACTCATTTTGTAGTGATGGTACGGATTGGTTAATTGTTTTATTTTAATATACCTTTTTCAATTTGATGGTTTTTTAAATACGATACTGTGAATTTTTAATTTTAGTAAATGTCAATTTGACAGTTCTTCCGTTTCTGTTAATAACACATCCACACATTTTGTAACCCTATTCACTCAAAATTTGTTTAAATTTCCATTTGATTATCTGAATATATAATGCCGCCGAAAAAAGTCGCAGCACCTAGTAAGAAAACTGAACAAAAAAAAAAGGAAAAAATCATTGAGGTAAGCGGAAGGAGACGCAAGTATACTTACATGGCTAGTGCTCTCCAATGCAATTCCTAACCTCAATTAGGAAAGATTTACATTTTATGCTTTGTTATAACTGACCCTTAGGATAAAACATTTGGTCTTAAAAATAAGAAGGGATCCAAGCAACAAAAATTTATACAGCAAGTACAAAAACAAGTACAGAGTGGTGGACATCATCCCCGGCAGGATGGCGATAAACGTAAAGAAGAGAAAGATAAGAAATTGGCTGATCAAAAAGAGCTTGCTATGATATTTAAACCTGTACAATCGCAAAAAGTTGAAAAAGGTACTGACCCCAAATCGGTTGTATGCGCATTTTTCAAACAAGGCACTTGCACAAAAGGAGATAAATGTAAATTTTCTCATGACTTATCGATAGAAAACAAGGTAATATTTGAATATTAACAGACAAAATTTAAATTAATATATATATGTTTTTCATTAAGGTTGAAAAACGTTCCATATATGTAGATATGCGAGATGCGGAGGATGATATGCAGAATTGGGACGACGCTAAATTAAAGGAAGTTGTAGACACAAAACACGCCGGTGAAAAGAAAAGACCTACTACTGATATTGTAAGCTTTAGTCAGTTACATTTATTTAAATACTCTGAAAATTATTTAGAATATTTTTTTCAGATATGTAAATATTTTATTGAAGCAGTGGAAAAATCAAAATATGGTTGGTTTTGGGAGTGCCCGAATGGCGAAAAATGTATTTATCGTCATGCCCTACCTCAAGGCTATGTGCTAAAAAGAGATAAAAAGAAGGAAGATAAGCCAACAGAAATATCCTTGGTCGATTTAATTGAGAAAGAACGTGCAGCACTTGGACCTAATCAAACGAAAGTTACCTTAGAATCGTTCTTGGCGTGGAAAAAGCGAAAACTGCAAGAGAAAAAAGAAAAATTGGCAGCGGAAGAGGAGCGCAAAAAGAGCGATTACAGCAAAGGCAAACAATTTGGTATTTCTGGACGTGAAATGTTTAGCTTTAATCCAGATTTGGTGGACGATGGTCCAATGGAAGACGGTGATACAGCGTTTGATAATTATCAACGCGAGGATGACGATGACGATAACATTGTAGAGTTTAAAGAATTGGATTTATCGGAACTTGCATTGGCTGCTCAAGAAGTAGATGGCACAGGAACCATAGCGTCAACATCCCGGCTCAAAGATCAATACGACGAGGCGGCAGCAAATAATTCGTCATTGTCTGATGCAGCTTGTGGTACTACGGAAGCAATAGATAATGCCGAACCAATAAATAAAGAACTTTTTATGGACTTAGTAGACGAGCTCGATGATTTAGATATTGATGGTGATGATGATGATGACGACGATGAAGACTAAAATTAATTGTTACATTCTCTACGTTTGTTACATTACAGGTAAAAAAAATTCTATAGCATAAAGAATAAAAACAGTTTGCTTATATATTTTAAAACACATCATTGTTGAAAATTATTTAATAAAGAAGTTTCGAAGTCTTGCAATTTTATTCAGTGTGTATACGTGAAACTGGATTTTGTTCTGTTAACAAAAGCAATTTAAGTAATCAATGTGATTACTAACCGGCGTCCATTCTTTATGTAGTTTTTACCAAAAATTTTGTGGTAAAATTCCAGTTGGTGTTGGAAATACTCCTTTCATTAAACAGTTATCCAACATAAGTTCTAAACGGGTAGTTGCTCCTCCACTATCGATTTCTTTTACTTTTGGAATATATGATTGCCTTATGAAAACAAGAAGTTTGACAAATTGTTTGCCGTAAGTTGCGTATAGATACGGTGAAACGACGTGTAATACCTCAGAAAGCACTGTCGTACAAATATCTGGCATTGGTTCAAGATTTACCAAGTTTGACAACCAAATCCAGCACTGATCGATACTGAAAGGGTGTGAATGACCATCTGCTTGACGACCATTAGTTATCATTATAGCTGAAAACAGTCGAGCGAAACCGGCATGCCGTTGCAAAAATAGATCTTGCTTTTCTATCACACCATCCTTAAATGTGTAACCAAGTACTTTAAAGTAGTCTTCAACGGACTGTTGTGGTTGCTGTGGTATATAATATGGTACTAAGTAGGGCGATTCTTTAAACAAGTAGGCTAGGAAAAGAATTCCGAAATCTGGTATTAATTTCCATAAGGATATGGCAACTGACGCTACTGGAAATGCTGCTGGCGCGCTGCTTGCAATTTGCGAATCACCTTGTTTGACCATTTTTTTTGTCATTAAAAGCATACAATAATCACGTCCCAGTGGATGATCGTTGACTGATATTATACCATCCGGAACTTTTGTGGGTTGACCGCTTATAAAATTGTAAAGCTTTTCAAATTTATCCTATAAATAGAAACAAGTATTAACTTAAATGAATGCGATTGTACAACAAATTTTTATTTATTACTCTTAGATGTTGAGGACTAACTGCTGCTATAGCATTAATTGGTATGTTAATAACTTTTTGACAGGCAGCTCGATATTTCTTCAGAGATTCATCATTCTGCAGTGGTTTCACCCTTTCCACTTTTGCTTGATAGAAAGCGTTAATTTTGTTGTAAA